TTCTCAAAATCCCAAAAATGGTTAAAGTGACATTGAGAAAAATATATGGTAGAGGAGCTATTAAGGTTTAATTTAATTTTATAGCAAAAAGATATACTCGAAATAGATATTTTGAACATTACATAACATTGTTTGATACAAATATCTATGGTTGTTGCTATTTTTTTCCACTTCCTTTTTTGTTGATGTATTATGGTTGACTATAAAACATTGTGTCACTTGGTCTCATAAAATCTACATTTTATATCGAATGAATTTTTTCATCTTTCTTTTTCCTTTACGGAGATGTTTACTGTCGTAAAAATGAATTCAAAAGGAAGCAGCAAAGAGATGTTGTACGATGAACTGTAGGATAAAAGTTTTACCATCCTTTATTTCGTGTTGCTGAGGTATCTAAGGCAAGGAAACATTTGTTGTCGGTGTATTATAAATGTTTTTAAAACGAGAGACGAGGGAAAGAAGTTTTCTCTATGAATTTTGACATCCACAAACTTTTTTTCTAAGGCTGACAAATATGGAGGTTATATTCTAAAATTTCATTACAAAATTTTCAATTTCCTTGTAAATAACACAAGCTTTCAGTACCTCATTTAAAACAAAAATGTTGGAAATCTTGACAGTTTGGCTTAATCTATTACTATTATTATTATTATTGAGTTTTATTCACTACTTCCCCTTCTTTTTAAAAGGAATCTATCCAAAGAAATTAAACAAGAGTGCAAACCATAATTTTAAAAATCTTAAATAGGTAATCAAATGCGCTTTAACTAAATTCAATTTGTTGCATTTTGAAGATTTTACTGCTATTGACTAACTTTTCGATATAAAAACAATTTGCGGCACCTCTAAGAGTATTTTATTAGATGCCGCTTTAATGTTATGGCAACAAAAAACTTTTTTTCTTCTCTTGTCATTTTGGCTTTTTGCGAAAGTTCAAGTGAAAACGAAAGTAATATTATGATATGTACTCTGCAAATGCTTATTTACAAAATACATGAACTAGCATCTTATTTGCTTTTTGTGTTAATGCAGAAAATTTAAAGTTATACTTTGTGACATTTATGTCTTTGGTAAATTTCAATAAATCTGATTACTTTTAAATTTTCACTATCCTCTTTTTTCTCTTTTCCTTTTCGTAAAGGAATATCAGAAATCACTCGAATATTTTATGCTCTGTATAATAAGAAATCAACAAGAAAGACAGAAGTATCATCGATTTTTCCACTCACAATAATGAATATGCATTTTTTGGTAAGATTAAGTTGATAGCAGATGGAAAAAATGTAAGAAGGATAATAAAAAAGTGGAAAAGAATTTCTGTTTTTATTCTTATATACATCATTTTATTGCTGCACTGCAATGAATATCTCAATTATGAGAATATTTAGAGAAATAAGGTTAAAAGAAGAACAGGACAGAAACATAAAGATAAGGTGCCAAGTAGGTTAGAATTGCTTTCAAATCCTTACAGAAATTAAAACGCTTTTATAAACTTGAACATTTAATAAGTGAATGTAATGACGAATAAAGTCTGTTAAGTTAGTAAAAGAACCATGGCTTGAAAATTCAAAATTCATTTTCTCAAATCTAGAGCCTAGAATCAGTCTGACAAAAGAAATCTAAACTGAATCTCAAGTCTTTGTTTTAAAAGTATTTCATGAGTAAAGTGAACGCATTAAAATATTCTTATGAATATTTAAGAGGAGTAAAAGAATATACACACAGCAACACAGGTGATAAAAATCCATTATGAAAGAGAAGGCATAAAGAAGAATTTCATTTTTTCATTATCTTGTCATACAGAAACGTGGCATAATCTCTCCAAACAATTTATATGTCTTTCTTCCTTTTTCGAGTAGATGAGCGAGTTATCTCTCTGTAGATTTCGCTTTTATTTTAATTTCTACTCTGATACTAATACAGACAATGACGATGAAGATGACAATGAACATTTTTTGAGAACATAAAAGCGGAAAAGACGAAATGAAAATAAAACAGAAGTTTTTTTTCCTCTATTATTATGGTTTTCCCTTTCACGCCTATTCTTTAATATTCACATTCTGTTGGTAAAGAAATTGAAAACATTTTGCATGCGTTTCGTACGTAAGATAGATAAATATTTTATAATTTCTTCTGCTTCTTGTTCCTTTAATATTTTCAGTTGATGATGTTGAGCAAAATTATTTTCACACCGTAACCACACATCCATGAAGTCATAAACATTCTCGTTTTATTTTACTACTTATTTCTTCTCGGCACTTCTTTTTCTGTACGTACATTCCTTGCTTTTGATTTTTCTTTAGGGAATTTTTTTAAATATCGTTCTTGTGAAATTTCTCTTAGAATAAATTTTTGGCCCAAACTTTTTATGTTTTGCTGATGTTCTTTCGGAGGTTAAAGTACTTTGTTAAATAGGTGATTTGAAAATTGAATTTTAAATTAAGATCTTAATATTCACAACATTTTCAAAAGAAAAAAAAATGTCATTAGCACCGTGGAAGAACTTGTGGTGATTATGCAAATGTTTTAATTATTTGTTTTTAAGAGAATAAACACTTCTAAAATTGCTACGTTACTTTCAATAATTGAATGTAGTGAATTTTCATTCCTTATTACAACTATCAATATAAATTCTTCATTCCTATCTAATCAAGATATTTAAAATGATTTTTTTACATTAGCAAATTTATATTTATCAACATTAATGCAGCGAAACTGATTTTATTAATTTTAACGGAATCAACCATAATCTTATGAACACATACACTTCAGTCCATTAGTCAGTTTATTATCTTTATCATAATAAACATGTTTTAGTTTTTCTTCTGCTTAAAATGTATATGCTGTGCTTATTTTATACGTGAGAGATGAGTTGAATTCAAGAAATTATGCATGCTGTATTAGATCAGGTAAGATGCTATAAACATTTCTGAGAAGAGTCGTTATAACTTCGGTCAATATTTTACTTTTCTTATTTTTTGGCAGACTTATAAAAAAATTACATTTTTATATTGTTTTATTTCTTGTAATAAAATCAATTCCATCTTGAGCTAAAACAGCTCTCATATCTTATCTTATTTTTTTATTCTCCACCACACTAAAGATATTTTTAAGTGAAAAGGTAAGTAAACTTAACTTCTTATAGTGAGATTGTCGTTGACATTTATTATATAACAAGTCTTGAGATAAACCATAAAGCTTAAGGCATAGACTAAACGGTTTTTTAATCTATTGGAACAAGAAGAAAATGAATAACAAGTAATAGATTGAAATTGCAATTTTATTGCTCGCTTGCCAATAATTTTTTTTAAAGCTTCATATCGTTTTGCTCATAGAAGTAGCAATCAACAATGAATTAAAGTTAAGAAGAAGAAGTAAAACAAGAGTGGCACGTATGTTAAAGAATGAGAGAGAAAAGAGAAATAAATGAGAAGAAATAATCATTAAACGTAAATGAACTTAAGCGTTTCGGATTTTGTGTTGAAAAAGAGAGATACTCGCGCGGTAACTGACAAACCGGTTTTTGATATTTTTCTGATCTGCAAGCAAGCACATTTCTTCACAATATTTCTTCTTTTTTACCTCATTTCTTCGCATTCTTTTTTAACGTCCATTCCGATGGTTGCATTTATACACATGTGTGCATGAATTAATGAAAGTAGCGACCAGTACAAAATTATATGAAGATAATAATCACATTACATATGTGATATTAATTGAGTTCTATTTGAAGGTGCACAACATTTATATTTTAAAGTTCAGATATTAATGAAACTATCTCAACTCATTTATTTGAAATCAGTGTTGCATTCTGGCCATTTGTCTGGATCAGATAAATTCTGAGACAGAAATTTCTTCATAAAGATCGATTCTACATGAAGATAGAAAATCTAATCTACACAAAGATTATTTCTACATAAAGATTCTGTCTACATAAAGATTCGATGTAGATGTCTATAATTCTACATTCTTCTCTGATGTAGACCTGGAAAAAATGTAGAATTGTAGACATCTACATCGAATCTTTATGTAGACAGAATCTTTATGTAGAAATAATCTTCACATAGAATCGATCTTTATGAAGAAAGTTTCTTAGCTAGACAAAAACTATTGAAGAATCTACATTCTTCATCTAGTGTAGACATCTACATTTGCAACACTGTTTGAAATGCTATCAAATTACCTATATCTAAAAATTTAATTGATTCTTCTTTATATTATTTGCACATTTAATTAAAAATAAGATTAAATTTTCCATAAGCTGAATAAACTTTTCGCTAAGCTTAAACAGGTAAGTATTGTTTGCTTTAAAGGATCAAATGTATATAAAAAACTGTCTTATATTATCTATGTCTAGCAATCTCTTTTTAATGTATACTATACAAAATAAAGAAATTAATTCCTTAGAGTTTTTTTTTTATTTGTCATACCATCGTCATGACATTTCACGCAATTCGTGACAGTGACATTTTGTCATGCCTTGCTGGAAAAATATCTGACAATTAATTAATTTTCTACGAAAATGAATCTGAATTGAAATTAAGTGATGAAAAATTGTGGTGAGAATGGAATCATAAACAAAATGAAGATATTTCAAGAAATAAAGAAAATGCACTGCAAGATGAGTCATGAACAATAACAAATATTGATTTTCCCTCCCCTCACATTTTATTTCCCTCAATGTGCCGGCACATACTACGAGAAAACTCACGTCGATGGTTGTAATTTTTTTTCCTCTGTTGTTCATTCATCCCTCAATTTTAGTTCATATTATTTCTGTATAACGAACAATATGTTCTACACAATGAAGAATTTTTTGAGTGTGTGCAGTTGGTGTTCATGTTTTTGTTTGTCAAATTACAAAAGAATAATTTTGCACCCTTTGACTCGATTAAAATTTTACAATCTCAATGCACAATAATGAATTTTTGTTTGAGATATTATTACATGTCTAATAAATTTAAGAACTAAAGAACATGAAATTGGTTGTTAATGCTTACATTCTTAAAAAACAGTTATTAATCCAATAAAGTTGTGGCTGGTTCCTTTTTTTTTTTGTCTTTGAAAACTTTTCTTCAAAGTCGCTGAGTTTAAAAGCTGAGTTGAGAATTTTTTTTTAACACAAACACATTCACATAAATAATATTCTTTTTCTTTTGATCTTATTCTTTTATCTTCTCATCTACACATTTAACTTTTGGCTTCCACTGCTGTTGAAATATACAATGAAACACCTTGCTTAATTCTTTATTTATAATTTCATCAACTTTTTGAACTTATTTCTAAAATTTCAATTCACAAAAATATTTCAGTTCAATTCTATAATTTTATGAAACTCTTTTTTTACTTTTTTAAATGCTTGTTCTGATTATTTTTCTAATTTAACACTTTTATGGTCACAAAATTGAAGAAACGTTCTTCATTCCTCGAGTGTTGCTCTGCGAATGAGAATTTAACTGAGAATGTGAAGAAAATTGAGCAATAGTACACAACCGGTATACACAAATTTTTGAACTTTTTAGCACTCTCTCTTTTAGCTCGAATCTCTCTCTATCTGTTTCTCACATTATGTTTTTACTCCAAGCTGTTGATTCTTTAACGATTTGTCTTCGGTTTTTTTTCCTTTTCTGAAAATAGAAAACAATAAACTTCAATGAGTCATAATAATCGCAAAATTATATTTGTGATTTTTGCTCTTGTTATACTTCACAAAATTTTTCAAATACAGAATTATGTGCTTGTTATGCAAATTTGTGCCACTGAGACAGTTTTTATGAAAATGTTGTTCTTGAAAACAGAAAATTCATGACTTCTTTGAGAAACATGATTGATTATTTTTTAAATGATTGTTTATAGAATTTGAAGAATTTCAGCTATTGAAAAACCCCAAAACTTATAGTTGTGAATAGTTTAGTTCCTTCTTCACAATAACAATAAATAAATTCCTTATTAAAATTATTTTAATCAATTTTGAGTTTAACCTTTTTAATTTTCATATCGTGAGTATCATAAATAATTGCTGGTGCTTTAAACATTAATTAATAATGAGAAAATGATATTCACACCGTATTATCGAAATTTCGTCGATAGACTAGCTTCGCTCAGCACATGTTTGAAGATTTAAAGCTTAAAGTTTTTTTTTGCTATTTTTGAAGCAACGGCTGTGCTTACCTTGCCCAAAAACAACATAGCTTCTCTATAAGACAACACGGATCAAATGTAAAAAACCAGAAGTCGCTACGATGTCTTGTTATTGAGATTTCTTACTGAATAAATGCAGGGGAAGGGGTCCTTAGGTACCCTTAGTTCCCCCCCCCCCCCCCTTGAGATGGAAATTTCATACAATTTTTTTTGAAATTTTTTTCAAACATTAAATCGCAAATGATTGGGCACCCTTCCTAAAAAATCCTGGCTACGCTCCTGATTGTAAAGAACCTGATGATGATGATTGATAATTGTGATGATGAAAGTTAATAAATTGTGACTACTTTTAGCAATATAACAACTAACTTAATGACTAATACATAAAATGTTTAAGAAACTTTAATGCCATTAATTTCTTCAAACTGAATTTTAATCCACATAAATGCTTCAGAACATCCTCCCATTTACTAACAGAACAAATATAATGCAAGAAAATTCTCTAATCTGCCTAGGTTTGAAATACATGTTCATTGATTTCCATTTTGTAAAAGAGGGTCAACCAAAAAAAACCCCAATTTTAAATGAATTCATTGAAATTGTATAAGCTTAATAGATTATCAAATAATTCATCAAATCGCAAATGCTAAGCAATGTAGTAAAAGCGAATATAATTGAAAATTGTATCAATTTAAAATAATAAATTATCATTGAGAAAAAGGTAGATTGAAAAGCAATTTTTCTGTGGTTATATCGTATAATACTTGAACATCTGTTAAGATTGCTCTTGAAAATGATTGGAAAAACTTGAATCTTTATAAGTTTTTAATAAAATTATTACTATCCATTTCAGATTAGATATTTAAGGAAGTTTTTTAATTAATTTGTTTTGGTGGAGTTTAATTGAAAAATCTAGTGTAGTTTGAAATAAACATCATTGGTTAAGTTATGATTGTAAATATATTTTACTTAATTAAATATGTAAGTAATGTTTACTTCCATAAAAGCCTTCAACCTTTATAAATCTAGTTCCGAACAAAAAGTATCAGCAATAAGATTATCGTAAAGGTACCAAAATTGATTCAACTCTAATCCTTATTGAAGGTATGAAAATAAAACTAACAATGAAGAAAAACTAAATAAGAGAATCCTTAAAAAAGAAACTTGCACAAAAGTAGAAAGAAAAAGTTTTCCAACAAAGTGAATATTTCAAAGAGATATAAAAAAGATTCAAGAACGATTATAGAGATTGACTAAAGAGAAATTAATGTAGAAATCAAAGACGAGAAATCGTTAATTTTTGTTTTGATCAAATTTAAAAGCATGCAAATAAGACAAAACATTTTCGTTTTCAACATTTTGAGTACCAAACTGATTTTAATTATCATAAACAAGAAATCAAAACTGTCAACTATAGGAAATTCTCGAAATTTTTCTCGAAATTCAGCAAAAATTTAAGCCATCTTCTTTTTGCTCTTTTTGTATCCCATTCTTTAATGTATCAAACAGTATTTCTCCCCTGTATACATTTTCTATCTCCCCAACTCCAAGTATAATCATAAAACTGAGGGTTCAAATGTGTTTCATATACATTTTGTGCTATTTACATCTACAGCAAAACAACCAAGAACAGCAAACATCAGTTTCATAAAAAATGTAGGAAGACATAAAAATCGATTTTTTTTTGTCCCGAAATTTGAGTTGCACTTTTTCTCTTCTCTTCATTCTTCATATATTTTCATGTGTAATTTTGTTCATGAAATAAAGTGAAATAAAATAAGTTGAAGAAAAAATTTTTTTGGTTGTAAAGGAAATTTTTGTGGTTTTGCCATCCGTTGTGGTTGCTTCTGAATTGACTTTACTGCATGTGTTTTGTTTGTTTCTTTTTTATTTCAGAATTCTTGCGAATAATCTTGATAATATCATGTGAAAATAATTGAATGGATAAAAACTTTACAACCTCTTGAAAATGGAGACAGAAAGACTACATAGATTTCACTTTTTTTTTGTAGGAGACACTGAGTATAACAATGTAATCGAGGGGAGAGAAACAAATTATTTTACATTTCATTGATTTTATATGCATTTCATTTACTGAGCTCATGCTGTGTTTATTTGATTGCGAAATCATAATGAAAGGAAGGAGTTCTATTCGAGATAAAAAAAAGAGTGAAATTTAAAATTATGATCAAATAAATTAATGATTCCAGATATCTTGTAATTTTTGTTCTAAATTAGAAGATTTTAGGGTTTAGAAGAATTTTGTGGCAAGTTTTAGCACTTTTGAAATTACTTTATAAAACTTTAATCAATGATACTTTTGATATGTGTTTGTTTCAGATTAACGCCATAGAGATGGTCATTGAACTACTGGTTAAAAATATTAAAAAATTTAATTTGAGTAATTCCAATCTCAATCTCTTCACTATATTATTTTTTACTGAATCTCTATACCGACAAGATTTCCCCCAGACATTTATTCAGCATGACATGATTAATTTTTATATATTATAAGGGAAGAACTATTTGTTTTTTGTCATCTTTGTGTAGGTATGGATAGACTTTTTGACTGCTATCTTCTGAAAGCTCTTTAGTTGAAAATCTATCAGAGAGTGTAAATATGTAAGAAATGGAAGATGTTTATTGGATTTGAAATTGAGAAATATTGTTTGTTTTTGTTTAGGCAAAATACTTGATTTTATTGAAGTGTGTTTGTATCTTCATACATAAACATATCACATGTCATTCATTTTACATAAATATGATGAGATGTTTCTTTTTATCGAAGTACTCGAAGAGGCACTTCATGCTATCATTTCGAAGTGGTTTTTTTTTTCGTTTATGAAAATTATCAAATCTACATATACACTTCATCAATGTGAAGGAAAGACGATTCATTTGGATAGCTCAGAAACTTATTTTAAAATATATATGGATACATGGAAGAAAGCTTTAATGTGCCACATGATGTGGTTTAAAATGAAAAATATATGTGGGTATGTATTCGATTTTCTCATTTTCCTAATTCCAACACTTACGGAAAATCAATTTAGTTTAATCTTTTCACTCCCGATGCTGTCGAATCGCACTCAGTAATCTTCGAGACGAAAAGAATTTATTAGATTTCCTCTTAAACTCGATGCCCGGTAATAACACCGACGCGGAATAACTTCACTTGTAGAGAAAATCGTGAGTTCGGAATAATGTCGAAAATTTAAAATGCATAGAGCGGTAATAACTTCACCTATATAGCCTGAGTGAACTTATTCCGGCGTGGCGCAGGAATAACTTCACTTATAATTTCTATGTGAAGTTATTCCTGTTTTGTGTAATTACTTTTATGTTATTTTTTAAGGGTTTTTTATGATATTTAATTAATAAAGTTCTTCAGTAATATGTTTTGAAGTTTGTTGCGGATTTTATTCTAATTTGATGTAAGACAAGATAGTTTCTTATATCTTCGAAATTAATTTGGAATATATAGAAAGTTCACTACTAATTCGTAATTACTTTGAATATCAATTAAAACTTTAATTAATTTTTCTGGAGTTATAGGCTCTTTTGCTGAAATATCTCTATTAGATATCAATCTTGTGATATTAACACATGTTTTTGTATCTAAAAGGCAGGCTTTAGATGAGAATTTAATAGCTAAAATTAACAAAACTTTTGTCAACAGTGTCAATTGGTAACATAAGAGCGCTTCCATACAAAATTAAAATTCAAAAAGTTGCACAATTAGCTAATTTTACCTTGTTTAATTAAACTAGAAGCAAGTGAAATGATAAAATATACATTTTTTCAATCCATTAGAAGGATAGCTTGAACACTAGTAAAATTAGCTAATTGTGCAACTTTTTGAATTTTAATTTTGTATGGAAGCGCTCTTATGTTACCAATTGACACTGTTGACAAAAGTTTTGTTAATTTTAGCTATTAAATTCTCATCTAAAGCCTGCCTTTTAGATACAAAAACATGTGTTAATATCACAAGATTGATATCTAATAGAGATATTTCAGCAAAAGAGCCTATAACTCCAGAAAAATTAATTAAAGTTTTAATTGATATTCAAAGTAATTACGAATTAGTAGTGAAATTTCTATATATTCCAAATTAATTTCGAAGATATAAGAAACTATCTTGTCTTACATCAAATTAGAATAAAATCCGCAACAAACTTCAAAACATATTACTGAAGAACTTTATTAATTAAATATCATAAAAAACCCTTAATAATAATATAATCCTTTTATTAAATTTAGTGTGATCATGGCGGAACAAATTGAAAATTGTTTGATATTAACCTATTCGGTTTTAAATCAAATGCAAGTAGAAATTTTTTTTGGATTACAACATGAGCTAATTAGTATGTTAAGAAATAAAGTTATGGTTGAAAAAGTATTTAAAAAAAACCAAAAAATTATATATAAATAAATAAAAAAGTAATTAAGATAGCGAAAAGAGAAATTTACATGGAAAGGTAAAAAACCCTTAAAAAATAACATAAAAGTAATTACACAAAACAGGAATAACTTCACATAGAAATTATAAGTGAAGTTATTCCTGCATCATGACGGAATAATGTCGATGAACAAAAATTTGTGAAATTATTACGACGTGGCGCAGGAATAATTTCACTTGGCACATATAAGTGAAGTTATTCCTACAGCGTGCAAGAATAACTTCACCTTCATTTTCTAGGTGAAGTTATTCCTGCGCCACGCCGGAATAAGTTCACTCAGGCTATATAGGTGAAGTTATTACCGCTCTATGCATTTTAAATTTTCGACATTATTCCGGAGCTGCGTTGTGAAGTTATTCCGCGTCGGTGTTATTACCGGGCATCATAAAAAATAAATTTTACCATGAAAAAACACTTAACATATTTACCATCTATGCCTAAAGTGCCATTTAATCTGCCTTTGAAATTCTCTTTTTTACCACGTTTTTTTTCTTCATCGATTTCAAAGTTTTCTTTTTATTCAGTTTTTCTCCCTTTCTTATCTCATCCATCCTCTTTTTAAAAAAATTGATGTTGAATAATTTCAATTTGTAGAAAATATTTTTCTTTCTCGAACACGACTTAAAGTGGATTTAAAAATTCTTTTTTATGTATGTGTAGCATTAAGGAAAAAATTGTAATATAATATGCATTTTTTTAATTTTTTTCTTGCAAAATAAAAAACTAGCGCATATATTTGAAAAATGGAATGACTGTGAAATAATTGAAATATTTACTGCAAAAAATGCGCTCATTTAAAAGTTTTTGGTTCTTTTTTTCTTCCTTTATCGTTTCTGACGAGGTCGATGATTTCGCTCCATTCGGATATTGAAACATACGTGTAGACGTATAATTATTAGCAATTTTTCTACTTCTTCAATTCTTTTTTAAGGTTCATTTATATACAGATATCTTTTTTCATGTTTCTAAAAAGTATATTGGAAAACTAAATTGTTATGTTCATTGAGGGATTGTGAAAGATGTTTAAAATTATAGCTTGGAGTTTTGATGTTTTCTATGTAAATTCTCAAAGTGGTTAATATGTGCTAATAAAATAGAAATTGAGTTTATTAAATTAATTTTTATGATCATTATAATCGATTGGACCCAGGGGGAAAATAACTTGGTGTGAAACGTGTACGCCATTTCACACCAGAGTTGTGAAATTTCACACCACTGGCGTGAAATGGAGTGAAATTTCACACCACTGGCGTGAAACTGGCGTGAAATGGCGTGAAATTTCACACCACTGACGTGAAATAGCATACATTTTTCACGCCAATATAAAAAAAAATTAAAATACATTTAGTGATTTTTTTAGGACCAGAAAGCCTTTCATTTAATATTCCATTAACCATTAAGGTTTGAAAATAAACTTTTTTAATTTAAATAAGTAAACCTAAGATAGTTTTATAGACAGTTTAATGGTCTTCTTGTCTTTTTATATGACTAGTTATAATTTTCATGTGCCACCAACTCCTTATCCTTCAAAATTCGAATTTTCAACACACTGTTGGTTTTTCAAATCTTCGTAATAATTTTCTTTTAAAATCCTACAAAACTTGTCTTAATTAGTTAAAATTAAAATAGTTTAATTAATGATTTTTTGAAAAACATTTTTCATAACGGTCAAATTTAAAAATTTTCCTCAGGTTTGTTTGCATTGACAAGTTATTCTGTGAATTAAAAGATCACCTACAACTCATTAGCTACACACAATTGTGAGCTTTAAATTTTCTCACAGATGTAGAAAAAATGTTTGTATGCATTGCAATGCTCAAAAGCAAGTATTGTTTTTGTTTAATCGTGTTTTTAAACATAAACAAACAAATTTTTTTAAAAAAAAATCATTAATTTTGATAAAATAAGCTGATTTTTTACAATTCTAACACTCAGATGTGAACTACAAAAGATTGGGAAAGAGTTTAAGACTAATGAGTTTAGTGTTTATGAAGATTTGTGAAATATCGTAACGAAAAGTTTGTATTTAAAATTTTACCGCAAAAATTTGCAAATTTTTTTGAAAATTCAAACGATTTTTTCTTCTGAGGACACCATCTCAAAATGTTGGTAAATCATAAGGATATATCAAAAAAATGATCATTGTTTAACGATTAGCGACGTCGATTCAAATGATTCCACTCGTGATAAAATGAACACACAGTCTACAAGAAAAATTTGTTCGTCAAATATTATAGATTTGTTAAGAAGCAAAATGTCAGGAAGTGAAGGAACATGCGCTTATCTTCAATTGATATTGTCCATATATAAGGCATACATTGAAAAGGAGACAGATCCATTAAACCGACTTTATCATGCTTACTATGCAGTTAGCTTTATTAGACGGTGGAGATCTGATTTGGATAACAAGTCATGTGGCGATTTTATAACATCAAATGTTTGGACTTGCGTGGAACTAAATTTTGTATTTCTCCTGAGTTTAATATTAAAAGAACTAGGGCATATAATAATTATTTGGAACTCACAGCCGTGTGAGGAACTTTTTCGAACATTGCGCTCTTTATCAAGTTTTTGCTTGACAGAAATTAATTTTAGCTCTCTAGAAGTTCTCGAGAAAATCAATAGAATTCAAATTCTTCATGATATTGCGTTTGATTTGCGAGAAAACTTTGTTTTGCCTGAGAACGAAAAGATCAAATCTGATAGTTTGATTTCGAATGATGTTCCTGTATACTATCCATCAATTGAAGAATGCAAGACTGTTTTAGATAAAGCTTCCAAAGATGCTGAACAAATGTGCAAAACATTGAAAATGAAAAAAATTGAGGAGTGTAATCCAGAAATGTATTTAAACCCTTTCGTATCCAGACCTAATAATCAACAAACTTTTCATGAAGTATCAACTGCAGAAATAATCACAATAAAAAAAATAACTTATGGTTATTAGTAGATGAAAAGTTTAGAGTATCTAAGGATAGGTCTATGTGGTTTCGAAGTGGAAGGAAGGAAATTACTATTGAACGAGTGATAACTGAAGATAATTTTTATAAAATTAAGGCTCTAGTTCATGGAGATGTAATTTGTATGAAAAGTGATTTGGATACTAATGTTTGCATCATTGGCAAAGTAATGAATTTTAAATATGAACATGAAACTGCAAAAAAAGATAAGAAATTTCCTTTTTCGTATGTCATGTTAAATATAAATAAGAAAGTTTCATTAAGATTGTCACCTTGTGTTTACGTAACCAAAAGAGCTAAGCTCATGCCATGTAATCTAAAGTATATACCAATTTCAAGTTACATTCTTAGTGTTAAAGAAAACAATTACTCAAAGGTTCCTTAGTTTACTTAAAGAAAAAATTAGAACATTATAATAATTTTAAATAAATTTAAAAGTATGTTAATTTCTATAAAATATTAAAAAAAAGACTGTTAATTATTTTTTTTTCGATTAAAATTTTCACGACATTGGCGTGAAATTTCACACCACTGGCGTGAAATTGGCGTGAAATGACGTGAAATTTCACACCACTGGCGTGAAATGGTGTGAAATTTCACGTCATTTTTGTGAAATTTTTGGCGTACACGTTTCACACCAAGTTATTTTCCCCCTGATTGGACCATATTTTTCTTTACACATTAAAACTGCAAAAACTTAAACTTTAGATTTTAAATCGACATTTATTTTACAAAAATTCAAAAGGAAAATGACGTGTAAAATTTTTTAAAGAAAACCATGAGAGCAAAAGAACAAAGTACAAAAAGAAAAGAATACTAGTTCTCATGCTATTAATTAAGTTAAAAGCATCAATAGTTTCAACATATAAAGAATATGGACATTCATTCTCTTTTTTTGTAAGAGAACCGTTCACTTTATCGAATCTTAACCATCGTCATTAAAAAAGAAATGGAAGTTTAAAATTTTCTAAAAACTTACAAATGAAAAGCTTTAAAAGAATGACTCAATCAATTTTTTTGTATTCTTCATTCGAAATTTGTTGTTTTCTATTCCAATGTATGCACATCGTATAAAACATACTGCTGACTCATCGTCAGTTTATTCTATTCTTTAAAACTTCATATTTTCTGAACAGTACAAAATCACAACTTGCTCTGTCAGAATAGTAATCATAATCTCTTTTTTCTAACTGAAGAAAATCAAAAAAGTTATTAAATACCACCTGCCAATGGATTTTTGATGAAAAACAAGATAATTTTAAGGCTTTGAAATAAGCATCTGATGCTGAATACTTATAAGCTTTGAAATATGTTTGAATTTTATGCCTTCGCCAAATAAATTTAAAAGGAAAACATTTTGTCTATTAAGTTATTTGCTTAAAAATGCTTTCATACAAAATTGTAAAGAGCCCGAAAAGTTATACTTCTCATATTATTTCTTAAGTGCGCCTTATTTATTTTATTCTGATTATTCGTTACTCTACTTGAATCATATAAGCAACATGTTCCGAATCTTTAATTGTGTTTTCATCATATAAAGGCTTAGATTTTTGTTGTATTGATTGAGATCCATGCGAAATACTATACATTTAAATTCTCTTTTTGTACAAGTACAGATGAAATTCATGAAAGCTATAAACTTGCTATACTTCAACCGGCATTCAAAAAAGTGAGAAAATACATTCATAATTATAAGGTCACTTAAAGTATTTTATGAATTAATTGTAGTAAAAATTATTTTAACAAAATAATATACATCAACCAGCCCCCTGATCAGTTAAATTGAAATGTAAATAAAGTAAAAATTTATGCTTGCGGTAAACCAAGATATACTTCTGTCTGAGAAAAATAAAAAAAATTACATTTAAGCATCATACTGTTATGAAACTTGCTCATCAAGATTTCTTTTTACTTCCTTCTTTATCGTTTCTTTTCGAATTATTTTTTGTTGCTCTTTATCGAATAATTTTTTTAATTTTATATTTCATTAATGAATTTTTAAACATTCTTTTTTTTTCATCGATTTTGGGTTCATTATAAAAGTTATTTAACATACTCAAAAATTCAATGATAGCATTTTTGGGGACCCGAAATTAAGAATTTAAAAATAATTTCAATATTGATTGATCGTTTGTTTGCAAGCTTGCTGTTAACAATGAACTAGAAATTGCTTTGATAGCAAGCGTTTAGCGTGTATGCAGCTAAATTTATAAGGATTTTGTAATCGAAATTTTAAACCAAATAATATTTTTGAGTCTTTGAAGAATAATTTGCTCATACTTATTATAGTTTTATAATAATGAGCCATAACACTTTCAAATTGAATGAAATTTGTATGGCAAAATGAAAGAGAAACTTTTCTTCATTTTTGGCTTGAAAAGATGAAAGATTATTAAAGTTAATTAAGATCATGAGTAAGTTATTATTTGTTTGAATAAGATTTTATGGATACACACTAGATTCAACATTAACAGTCGTCTCAAATTTCTCAAAATTCATTTTAAGTGTTAATGGAAAATTTTTGGTACAAATTACTTTTATTCACGGTGACAAAACCAGCGGAATTTGAACAAGAATCATTATTTAATTAACCCAGCTTGTTTTTTGTTAATAATTTTTCCAAAAATTTTTGGAGTTTTTTGTTTAACAATTTTTAATCAATAAATCAAATTAAGAAGAAATGCTTATTGAAAAACAATTCCCATGTGCCAAATAATTCAATATAATGCTTGGCAATAAATTTTAATGTTCGCACAATTTTCCATTAGTGACTCAAATTATCAACCTTTTGTTGCTTGTTCATCTCCTACTGACATCGACCTATTGAAAAGTCTTTAAGGTGTCATTAAGTGCTTTTTACAATTTCGTTGGTAATTTTATGTGGAAGTTCAAAAAGTAGCAGTAAACAAATAAGATTTTTTTTTCATCGATGCTAAAAATCTTCTTCTTAATTTTTTCGGTACTGTTGCGACGATGAAAGATTAGTTATTTTTTTTTTCTTGTAATACGCCTTTTTTTATTCTTTAAAGCATTAATTTTTCAATTTAAAAATTTATGAAGAATCATGTTTGTAACTTTCCTCAAGCATTATTTTCAAATTTGTAAAATATTGCAAATGTTTATTAAAGATGATTAACTAGATAATTTAAAAAAAATTTGATTTTATTTATTTTTAAATATTTACTTGTAGTTCTTCCAACTAATATCAAAATCTTTTATATGTCTTTGAAGATAATGAATTGTTGACCTTTTCCCTAATAGGCAATGAGCATGCTCACAAATTTGAGCACATGCGAGAGCATACTCAATTATAGAAATTTATGTGCTCAAATGAACATACTCTCATGAGTACATAATGAGTACAAAAACGTATTATACTCAGTTGAGTACATTCATTGAGTACGTTCTCTTACATACTCTAAGTACATCAACATGATACAAAAAATTTTCTTTATGTGCTCTCTTGAGTATACTTATTGAGTATGTCCTCTCTCACATTGTGAGCATGACAAATGTGAGTGTAATTTTAAAGACAGTATACTCTCGTCAGTATACTCTTCAAGTATACTCTTCAAGTACTCAAGCGCATATCTTTCTGATAATTCACATTTAAATACATTATGCTCATGTGAGTAAACTTTCTGAGTGCACTCTCAATGCACTCTGAGCACGTCTTTGTAATAAGTTTATGTAATAAAATTATGCTCATCTGAGTACACTTTCTGAGTGCACTCTCAAATATACTCTAAGCACGTCTTTTTAACATGTCACATCCAATTGGATTATACTTAAATTCTCACACTTAACAAATATTTACTTACAAGAATCTCTAGGTTTAATTTAAAAAAAAGTTTATAAATATCAGTTTGAAATCGTTTGTATGCTTCAGCACTGTACTTTTGTATTGGAAAAAAAATGTCGAAAAATTAAATTTTTGCAATACTTCCTTCCGATGCAGTTTATGACCAAAATTTTGATTGAAACTGATGAGAATCATGATTTAAGACCTTTTGACATCTAAAAATTTTTACTTGGATGCTTCAGTTCCTTTAAATTTGACTTTTTTAATTTCGTTTGTGGAGTACTTGGAAATTTCATCACAGTAAACATTTTTGGGTTTTCACGTGTGAATTTATTGGTTTTGTTCAGATTGAAAAATCAGTTTTTTGAATTTTGTGAGGATATTGAGCAAGATAGCTTAAAAGGTTCAGAGAAGAAAAGTTTGTGCATGAAATTTTACATCATTTTCAAAAAACAGATTTCAAATTGGTTGCGGCATTGCTGAGAAAATCGCAAAATACGCTTTCTGTAAGCAAGCAAACAAGTAAACAAGCATGCAAGTTAATCAGCAAGAAATCTCAATAACGAGACATCGTAGAGACTTGTAGTTTTTTTACATTTGATCCGTGCTGCTCTATAGAAGAGCTGTATTGTTTTTAGGCAAGGTAGGAACAGCCGTTGCTTCAGAAAAAGCAAAAAAATTTCCTTTCTTACGAATTTTTTAAAACAAAAGTTCACTGTGATTTTTATAAAATTCAACTTTGGATGAAAAAAAAAATTTTAAAAATCTTTCAAAAAATGTTCGTTAAGCTTTAAATCTTCAAACATATGCTGAGCGAAGCTCAGCTGACGCGCTAGCTTCATACCTTCAAATTTATGGATAACTTGGGTTTCTACCCGATACACTAGATCCTAGCAATTTTTGCTTTCACCCCCCCCCCCCCCCTCACCCTGAGGATTTTAAACTATTTCTACATATACATATAAGATTAATGTTACAAAAGGATTAAAGTTTGTATTAGGTTTCCAACCCTTAGAATCCAAAATGCCGTCGGTTATATATTCAGGAACAACCACTTAACCTACATGCCAAATTTCAGATTAAAAGTTTAAAAGATACAAAATTATGGCAAAAAAATAATTTGGTATGAAAAATGTATGGAAAAAAGTGAATAACTCCGTGAAAACCTCGGAAAACGCGTGGAAAAATATGAAAATGGAAAAATTTATCATAAAACATCATGATCTATCAAAAAGGTGTAAAAAAGAATGAAAAAAAAGTTACTCACGGTAAGGCCTGAACCCGTGACCAATGAGTTGTGAGAAAATTCACCTTTTTAAGGGCTACGTAAAAATACGTATGTAAAACGTATTGTAAAATTTCAGAAAAAGTTAATTTAATTAACCTTCCTTTCAGACGGACGGACAAAACGCAAGCAATAGCGTCATTTAAATTTTAAAATTTAAAATCAAAGTTAAATGTGTTATTTGCCAAAAATTTTACTTAAGATAACACAACTCGGTGGAGTAGAGGTAGCAACGCAGAATTTATCTAAGAACACAGCGGTCAGAAGTTCGAATCCTGGTAAGATTTATAAAATTTTC